GTGCAACGACGACGCATTACGCAAGGCTTCTTTATCAACTTTGACATACCGACCTCTCGGTTATACAGCCAAACTCCATGATTCTTCACTTCGCTAGATGGCCGCATTTTCCCGCAATAGGGCGCAGTTTTCTTTTTTGTAAGCGACCTTGTTGGATAATTAGAGTAATATAATGACTACCTTTTATTAACACTGGCTGTGCAACAAAAACTCAGCCTCGTATGAATTTGCCTATGCGAACTCTCCATAGTGAAATCAGTCTTCTTTTTTTTTTTTTGCTTCTACGTATAGATTTATTGATCCTCCCGCGCCCACCCTCCGAAAACCTTCTGTGCTTAACGGGGTTTTGTACTGCTTCCAGGATCGGTGACAGTGCAACCCTTTTGCGCCTCACTTGTTCCGTGACCGGCTAATCTTTCACCAAACGTGACGTCATGTGATGACATCACGTTGTGGCATCATGATGACGCCCTGAGTTTTGGCTTCGTTACGTCCCAATGACGTCATAAGGTGACGTTATCAAGTGATTAGTTTTGCATCACTCGTGTTGACGCCGCGGGACGCCGGTGGTCAATTGTCATGTTTGACATAACATCTATTTCTTTCGCATAAATAATGGCAGTGTTGACACATGTCCAGAGCCAGGAAAAGAACGCCATAACAAAAACATCGGCCAGGCTGCAACCGTGGATAAGGAGAAAACGAGCCGTTGGATTTGCTTTTCTCACTAGTAGGCAAGGCACCAACACTAAATAAATAAATAAAAAAGGAGGAAGCGTGCCGTTTATTTGCTCTTTCCGCGGCTACTTCCTCGTACACTTCGTCACCTTCTGGATATAGTGCACGCGTACTGAAACGAACAGCCATTCGGACAAGTGGTTGTCGAATGGAGACAAAAGGACGAGGAAATTGAGACGTGAAACTAAACGCAGAGTTCTTTCCAATCAGGCAAACAAGTAAATACCTTATACACGCTTCGCTGGCTTTCGACAGCCGGTCCCTCAAACAGCGGAAAGCCTCGCGGAAGCATCGCGATATTAACGCCTCGCTGAACACGAGAACACACGGGGATAAACGACGTCAGACAACTTGCGAAGCCTCGTGGCTACATCATTGCTTGGTAAATTCATTCATTCATTCATTCATTCATTCATTCATTCGTTCGTTCGTTCGTTCGTTTGTTCATTCGTTCGTTCATTCGTTTCTTCCTTCTTCATTTATATACTGGCATGCAGCATCACAAACAATATTTGTATGTGAGAAATGCAGGCAGCTAAGCCAGAATTCAAAATTGTATAAAGGAAAAGGGATGATAAAGAAAGAAAATGGAAGTACATGCAGGCTGCAAAAAAAGAGCTGATGAAGAACGTGAGTACTATGACATCTTAGATGGTCTAACGTCAAAAAAATATTCTAAAGCAACAACATAAGCTAATATATTGAGAACTAACATACAATGATGCCAAGGAATGTACCTTAATAAAGTAAAGATTTGGGGAAGTTGGTCTTGCATTATGAAGTAAAACCAACACGATGTTTTACGCTGAGACACACCATCATCAGCTGACATCAGGACCAGCGCACTCCAGAAATCACTGAAGCCACCCGTATTGCGCGAGAATGTTTATTATGCATTAGTATAGCATGTCTGTTTGCTGACGAAACACTATCTTTTTTTTTTTGGAAGAACACGTGTGATCCTCTCTTAAAAATCTTGTAGTGCGTTTATGTGTAAATTTTCCGTGTATATTTTCCTTTAATGTTTAATGAAAGTTCAGGTCAGGACAGTGCTTGTCTGTGTCATTTCTTTTGTGCGTCCCCGTGTAAAATGTCGTACTGTTCTTGCTTCATAATGCCAAGAAAACTATAGGGGATGTTATTAGAAGTGATTGTAATGTAAATGTGAAGTAATAACAGTTGACGAAAAGACAGCTTACCACTGAAGATGACCGAACCTACGACCTTCGGTTTTTGCCAGATGCAAGTCATCTTTTCGTCCATTTTTCTTTCTTTACATTTCCAATAACACTCCTTCTAATACCATCCCCTATAATTTCCATAGCATAACTGTATGTTTGTTCTCATTATGCCTAACACACGCACGCACGCACGCACGCACACACACACGCACGCACGCACACACACACACACACACACACACACACACACACACACACACACACACACACACACAAACGAGCCGTCATGCGTACACTTCTTTCCTTCAACATAGGCTGTGAGAGAGACATGCATTAGCGGACGGCTCTGAATTAATTTCGAACCCCTTCGGCACTTTGACGCACACCTGAATCGGAAGGCACGGCGAATGTTTCTTGCAGTTGTTCACGTCTATATGCAGACTCCATGGCCGCGAATATAAACTGAGTGCCAGCTTAATATGCTGTTATTTCGCTGGTCTTTATATGTAGCGTTCTCGTTAGTATATCGATGGCCTTGTGAAAGAATTTCATGTCGTCTTTAGTGTCGCCATATGAAACGACTTCGTTCTTACGTGGACTCCACTGAAAAGCTCTCCTTGGGTGCGATTTTGTGTGGTTATTTCACTTCGTGGCTGTTATTCTGACTAATGCTACTGTCACAAAAAGGAGCAGCCGGCGCAATACGAAATCATAAACGTGTACCAAACAACATATTATGACAACAGTGTCATTACTCTTATCTTACCACCTCCATAAGTGTGCCCAGGGTACCCCTTCAGGGTGTAAGGGACAGGTAAGACGACGTTTGTTGCATTGTCTTCTTTCCCTATTAAATAAAAGTATGGGGCACACTTTGTGCCCCACACATTTTAGTTGATTTGAGGGGGCGCCCTCCCTCCCCTCGCGTGGGTGCTCCTAGACCAAGTGACATTCGTGTTCTCAGCTACAAGCCCGCGCTTCAGGAGGCTATTGTGAGGTGGGCTGAGAGATGAGGCCTATTATGAGTGGGCACACTCGCCTTCTCACAGCCCCTTTCCTTAAAAATAGGATGTCTTTTTCTCTCGCTCTATCTCTTCCTTCATCTACGTTGTGTCACGCTGTACCAATTCCAGCTCAAAAAATTACAAAATAGCCCCAAGACTATTAAGAGTGTGTCCTGTTAACTACAACATAGAAAACGCATATGTCATTATTTTTGGGTAATGCCCTGTTATTAAATGCGAAGCATTTCTTAGCGCACTTCGGCGACATTGAGCGTATCTATCTATCTATCTATCTATCTATCTATCTATCTATCTATCTATCTATCTATCTATCTATCTATCTATCTATCTATCTATCTATCTAGCCGCCTACGGCTTTTAGCTCTCCTGTCCGTTTCTATTACGGTATGGATACCAAACTTGGTATGGCATAACATGACTCTATGAAGAACATATTTGACTATTCATAACATGAAAATCATGACACGTATGTTATGAGTGTCAAGATTTAGATTTAATGGTCCTGCAGCTCTTGCGGTGGTTTCGTTCACATGACATGTTGCAAAACTGGTATAATATGGCATGATTGCATGGCGAACTCAAGTGACAGACCCTAACATGAAAATCATGACATGCGTGTCGTGTAACAACATGACTACATGCCACGCTCATGATGCACTGGCGGTCGTTTCGCTAGCTTTACATATGCTAAATTTTGTATTACGTGGCGCCAATGGATGACAAAGGTATGCGACTGGTGCAAACATGATGATTACGAGATGTGTGTCATGCGAGAACATGACTACATACCACAGTAAAGGCGCCAATACATTTCGACGTGACGCGGTGCGCGTGCTCACCGGCGTTCATTTCATCGCGTCACGCCGCCGTTGCATTTCGTCGCGTCAAAACAGGCACCGGTCGCGCCATATACTCGCAGGCGCGCCGTGCTGCGTTGCTTTGACGCATGCGCGTTTGAGTGCGTTCGGCGTCCCTCCGTCACGAAAAAAAAGGCGACACAGTGTTGTCTGGGTGACGCATCGGCGTGAAATGCAGCATGTCGCATTTCGCGTCGGTTGCCGTCAGGCCGCGCCGACGGACGCTGGTTGCGCCGGTCGCGCCTGGCGTTAGACTATAGAGTGCTCGAGTTTTGCTAACGTAGCGTCGCTGTGCCCAGCGTGTGCGCGCGTCAACGCTACATTGGAGTATATTGGGCCCTTCGTGCGCTCGTGGCCGTTTTGCTAGCTCCACATATACGAAATTTGGTGTTACGTGACGTCAATGGATGACGAAATATATGACTGGTGCAAACATGATAACCCTGACACGCATGTCATGTAAGAACATCATGACAACACCACGCTCATAGCGTGCTCGCGGCCGTTTCGCTAGCTGCACATATACTAAATTTGATATCACGTGACGTGAACAGATGACACAGGTAATCGACACATCCAAACATGATAACCATGACATGGAGGTAATGTACGGCATCATTTGCCTCCCCCCGCAACGTTGTGCTGATTTTAAAGTGACATATCAACATTTCTCATTCGTGCTTCGCATATCATCGAATCCCACTGTACGTGGAATCAGCCAATTTTTTGTGTTCTTCATACCTTCATGTCACACCATACTATTATAGGTGTACATTTAGATAACAAAACGCCCACGAAAACGCCCACGAAAGGTAGGTAGGTAGGTAGGTAGGTAGGTAGGTAGGTAGGTAGGTAGGTAGGTAGGTAGGTAGGTAGGTAGGTAGGTAGTAGGTAGGTATGTAGGTAGGTAGGTAGGTAGGTAGGTAGGTAGGTAGGTAGGTAGGTAGGTATGTAGGTAGGTAGGTAGGTAGGTAGGTAGGTAGGTAGGTAGGTAGGTAGATAGATAGATAGATAGATAGATAGATAGATAGATAGATAGATAGATAGATAGATAGATAGATAGATAGATAGATAGATAGATAGATAGATAGATAGATAGATAGATAGATAGATAGATAGATAGATAGATACTTCTATGCATCATCTGAACGCTAAACAACAGGGTCAGTCCCTCACGAGGTATCTTGCTTGCACTTTACCTTCAACGTCAATGGTGCCTTCCAGCTGAACAGCCATACGGACTAGGAGAGGCCGGAAATGCTTCTCGGGAAACGAACGTATCCGGTTGTGTGACATGTTGAGCAGGCGGAAGTTCTCGTTGTGGAACGCGTTGTCGGCGATGAGCACGATCTGGTTGTGCGACAGGTCGAGCACCATGTCGTTGTTGGGCTTGACGTGCACCGCGAACGCGTTGTTGTTCAGCACCTTCAGCTTGTTGTTGCGCAGGTTGAGCTCCTCCAGGAAAGGCACGTAGTAGAAGGCGTAGTTGCCCACGTACGCGATCTTGTTGAACGACAGGTTCACCTTCTTCAGGCCGGGATTGTACCTGCAAGCGCCGCGAACAGGCATCACTTACGTACGTACGTCCGCACATATGTATGTATGTATGTATGTATGTATGTATGTATGTATGTATGTATGTATGTATGTATGTATGTATGTATGTATGTATGTATGTATGTATGTATTATGTATGTATGTAGGTATGTATGTATGTATGTATGTATATGTATGTATGTATGTATGTATGTATGTATGTATGTATGTATGTATGTATGTATGTATGTATGTATGTATGGATTGTAATCCTAGTTTGCCCGCAGGCGTTACGCCAGAACGGTCTAATGAAACAGAGGTCGATGCTGCTGTATTGCTAGAGTTGCTTTTCACTTCTAATAAAGCGACTTCTTTTGTGCGTGTGTGGTGTGTGTGTGTGTGTGTGTGGTGTGTGTGTGTGTGTGTGTGTGTGTGTGTGTGTGTGTGTGTGTGTGTGTGCGCGCTAGGAGGAGCTAATCTCAGTGAGTTGTTCGAAACTGCCAATGAAGCGACGCCTTCTATCATCACTTCCGGGCGCTCAACAAGAACATCAGCCAGAACTGCACTGTGAATGGTCTGGCCTTTTTGCTTTCCTGGCCTATGCTTAGCCGAACAATTATCTTCATCTCGTCTATTATTAATATTCTCGTGCCAGGACATAGACGGGATTTTGTGTTGCGGGTGAGGGGAGGCCTGTGTAAGTGGGTAAGGGTGCGAGAAAGGTTACACCAGGGTTTGATACACGATTTTCTAGGGAAGAGAGGAGGCAAAAGGCCGGTGTAAGGGAGGGCCTGATAGGTCCTCTTCTTGGGGTAAAGGAAGGAGGGAGAGCCAGGGCATCTGGACCCTACCTCCATGTGAATATGACCTTGGGTTCAACTTTTCTATATGTGCGTATGTGTGCTTATACGTCCACCTGTTTATATACATATATCTACAAAATGTTTTCTGAGAGAGGGGTGTTTCAGCCGCAACCAGTTATGCATTTGTGTGTTCGCCATAGGTCGGCAATGATCCCGAGCTCACTCAGACTCACTCAACATATACACTCTGCTCTAACTGCTGTCTCGGACTAGGACAGGAATTTTTTTTTCAACCGGACTCTCTGAAATGCTACAGCATATTACTTGGCCGGATTCAATCAGACTCAAACTCATGGTATCAACTGAGAGTGAGTGAGCCCGAGGGAGTTGACGCATGAATTCGTAGGCTCAAAGCTTGCTTTTTCGGTCACATGGTCAGTCTTCTTTAAAGACAATATCTCACATAGTCGGTGCCCTTCGATATGCCTTGTCGCCATGTAACTGCAAATATGTAGTACTTGAGGCTTCAGTCTAATAAAGACATTTTTATGAAATAAGTGACTCATACGAGATATTTTAATGAAGAAGTTCCCTTGAAATATTTGCGGAGGGCGTTAAATGCACCCCTTTCCGTAACTCCGGCCTCTGATAAATGAATACCGAGGTAGCAAATGAATGCTTGTGTGCTGAGACAGGTGTGACTAGACGTCAGTATAAACATAGGCTGATTTAAAGATGATCGTAATGCTAAATATGGCGTAGGTCAGCAACCATTCCCGCAAGAAATATGTTTAGTGTTTAGGGCTCACCCGTGCTCTCACTCACAAATATTTTATTAGCTGAAATCACTCGGACTTAGATTCACTAATATTTTCTTCAATTAGACTCACTCGGACACAAATCTGACTCACCTTAACTCACTCGGACTCGGAATAATGGCTCAAGCTGAGTCTGAGCGAGTCTGAATGAGTCAACTCATGAGTGAGTTTGCCGACCTATGCATCCGCATACCTACAATTCAGTAAAAGTTGGCAATTAATATTATTTAAGAATTTTCAGTACTGACCAAATCTGTACCCATGCATAGTATTATCTGTATATCTCAAATCAGCGTAACATAAGGCTTCTGGTCACACATAGTACGTTAAATAAGAGAATGCTGTCGTCACTTAACGCCTGAAAACACCGTAGTGCTCAACTCTTGCATGTATTGGTAGAGCATAATTTTCAGGACAGTGCTAGCCATGTTGAGTCCGAGTGTTTTCGCAATTCTTGAGAACTCAGCAGCTTGAGGGCAAGTTTCATAAGTTCACTCGGCATATTGCACCTGAGAGGGCTGGCTCGTTTAGGACATACACAGCCAAGAGAAGACGCACCTGAAGGCGTAGTCCGGTACCGCCTTGAGATTGTTGTACTGGAGCGAGAGGCTCTCCAGCTTTGGGAAGGCGGACACGTTCTGGAATGGGAACGACTTGAGTTCGCAGTGGACCACCTCCAGGCGGCGCAGTGTGTTGCGCGACGGCTCCAGGGCACCGTCCTCGACCTCGACTACGGTGGACTTTTTCACCTGGATGTACTCGAAACGCAGGTCACCGAACATGCTTTTCTCCAGCTTCATCACCTTGGCGTTGGACATGCTGAACTTGCCGTAGTCCAGTGAGTGACTCACTAGTCGAGATGCCACCTGGTGACGTCACACGAGACCGGGAGACAGTGAATGACAGTATGGTAGACTGACTTATACTTTGGTGCGATTGACTAGCTGATGTTTACAACACATTGACTAGTGGTACTGCGACAGACACTAGTTGGATAACCATAACTACTAGACACACTGCTACGGGTGTAAAAAAAGGACTGGTTAAAATTATGTGATGCCTTATGTACTTTTATTTCTGTAAACTTGTACGCTATTGCACGATGTTCATCTCGTCTAGCAGAGGAACGAGCTACGAATCGGACACGAAACAGCAGAGCGACTGGACAGGCCAGTTCCCGCGCATTGACTCGGTCAATTCTTCTTCGTTTAGTACAACTACTGCCAATATACTATTCTGAACCCGAGCCATATTCCCTGCTTATACGTCTTATCCTGCACCCTACATCCATCGAGGATGTCTTCCAAATCTATTCAATACCATAGTTCGAAGTTACTATTCCCGTTTCCTTTACTTTCTTCGTTTATTTATTTTTTTGGTAAGCTGTGAATACATATGACGTAGAAGCTCTGTCCATAAATGTTTACATAAGCATGTGCGATACGGCATTAACTTCCTTGCAGATGTTTGCATCAGCTTTAAAATGCAGCTTCGCATATTGCTTGCGAGGCCTAGGTGTGAGATAAATAAGAACCAGTTAAGTGTATGTATCGCTTCTCGTCTCAGATAGATAGATAGATAGATATAGATAGATAGATAGATAGATAGATAGATAGATAGATAGATAGATAGATAGATAGATAGATAGATAGATAGATAGATAGATAGATAGATAGATAGATAGATAGATAGATAGATAGATAGATAGATAGATAGATAGATAGATAGATAGATAGATAGATAGATAGATAGATAGATAGATAGATAGATAGATAGATAGACTAGACAGACTAGATAGATAGATAGATAGATAGATAGATAGATAGATAGATAGATAGATAGATAGATAGATAGATAGATAGATAGATAGATAGATAGATAGATAGATAGATAGATAGATAGATAGATAGATAGATAGATAGATAGATAGATAGATAGATAGATAGATAGATAGATAGATAGATAGATAGATAGATAGATAGATAGATAGATAGATAGATAAGATAGATAGATAGATAGATAGATAGATAGATAGATAGATAGATAGATAGATAGATAGATAGATAGATAGATAGATAGATAGATAGCGCGCACACACCCTTTCCACCTGCCTCGTGGAGATTAGTCCGTCACACGTGAGCACAGTGAATGTGTTTGGCCCCGAACACCGACAGGGCATGGTCACGCTGTCCGGGGGGCAGCAGCGAGAGAATGCGTTGCACATGGCGTAGAACATGGCTGCATGGAGCATGGGCGCCATCACCTGCGTAAATAGTTACGTGTACTCTCAGAATATACGATCCGTCTGCCTTCGACAAACAAGAATACCAGGGCTGCTGTCATATAGAGTGCTCCGTTTTGTGCGTGCACATGCTTGTGTGGGGTGTTCTACATTGAAACAGCGTAGCTATAGACAAAATCATGACATGCCACGCCGCGAAAAACGAGGACACGGAAAGAAACGAAACAGGACCGAGCGCTCACTACCAACAACGAGTTCATTTGAGCGAACACAAATGAAGGAGTTCTGTGCAGAATATAGTAGCTTCCACTCCCCCTCCCCGCCGTCTACTGAGCTGCAGAAGCGTGCAAACACCATGAAACCACCAGGATTATGCTTAGCCACTCTGATTAGCCATGGACGTTCAAATACACATGTATCTAGTGGTGAACTTCTATGCCATGGAACATATCAAATGGCGGCCATAAGAGAACCTGGTAAACAGGCTAATACTATAACGGGAATTTTACTCGCCAAACAGGGTAGCCAGCCGGTCTGAGAACTGGCTAACCTCCCTGTCCTTCCTCATTTATTCCTCCTCCTCCTCCTTACTCGCCAAATGTTGACCACGCAGATGACCCAGTCCTGAAACAGCCGGGGAGTAGGTGAATGTAAAGTTTATTCGATGAAGTGCTGTTCCAAAGTCGGAGTACTCTCCCAAGAGCTACGCGGGTATAAGCACCATTACCAGAGTAAGACGTTGCAGTCTTACTACAGAGCGCTGGTAGTCACTAACTTTCGGTCCTCTCTGTTGGCTTTTGCACTGCAGCAGTATTTTCTCCCTTGATGGGTTTCGATTTGACGATGAATTCGCCGGCATTTCTCAAGCTTGCCGCAAACGGTGACGCCGAGTTGATTCCGGGCCCGAGCACAGACCTCAGATTACAAACTCTAGCGAATTTTGCATACATTGAAGAACAAGTCAGAGACGCTAGATGACATTAGGCGCAATCACCGGGCAGTCCAAAAGGAAGTAAAAGAAAATGGCACAGAAACAAAAAGTATTGAAGACCGCCGAGCTAAACTTTAGTCATCTTTTTCTAAACTGGTTGACGCATACCAAACCGCAACTATACTAAACGAAGTTGCCGGAGCGCTAACTAGAAAGCTTGACGATATTGAAAATCGCCAGCGCCGCAATAATCTTGTTATTTTCGGCCTGCATGAGCAAAATAGGGAAACACAGAAAGACCTGACGAAAGTAGTACAATAGACCTTTTTTTTTTGTAATCGGTTTATTGCCTGAAAGCGTGTAGCGTATGCACCGCATTCGGAAAAAAAAAAACAAAGGTACTACCAGTTATTCTTCGATTATATGACTTCAAGAAAAAGTACGAAATGGTGCGTAGCTGTTACAAGTTGATAGGTATGCACGTTTCAATGAATGATGATTTTTTTTTCAGAAGGCGTGCTACGCAGCAGCAAGTGTTTTTGGAAAAGCGCTAAAAACGAACAGTTGAGGGGAAAGCCGGTGCGCTTAAATTAACTTTCTACGTAGACAGTAAGGCGCATTACTGGGACTATTCCAGTGATATATAGGTGTAAAGAGTGTCGAAACGCTCGCCATTAGGAGAAGGACACCAGCTTAGCCAGAAACGGAATTTTTAAAGACAATAGTCTTTCTTGGAGACCTTCGAAGGAAAACTTCTGGTCTGTCTGTCTGTCTGTCTGTCTGTCTGTCTGTCTGTCTGTCTGTCTGTCTGTCTGTCTGTCTGTCTGTCTGTCTGTTTGTCCGCCCTAACGATTTCTCAAACGACATCAAACGGCCTACCGCATCCGCAGTGCCCACCAATATTGCTCAAGGTTTAGCGTTCATAGTTGTGCGATTGTCAATTAAAAAGCAGTTATTGCGCATATCTGAGGCGCCACCGCAACGCTTCGATGTTTTGTATGTCTGCCTTTATACTAGACGAGGCACACACAAGTAACTCTCTAAGGACTGTAGCGTTTAACACGCTGCGCTGACAGTGCAACGCGATGCTCAAGAAGGTGTTTCCAACGCTTTGCTACGACGGCACGATGGTGGCACTTGCCCGTCGCTTTCCTTTCTACACCTTATCACCTCCGTGACTGGCACGCATCTTTCTCTGCGGTCGCGCACGCCTTCGTTTTCGAAGATAACTGCCAGATGGCGCTCGTGTAACGTGCCTAGATGCGCTTGTTCGCCTCCGTTACACGCTCGAGGCACTGTAACGCAGCGCCTTCAGAATACCATTCACCGATTTTCTTGCGCAGAACATCAAATAAACGTTTTGTTCACTCTCTCCAGATGCAAGACTATCGTCTTTCGGCGAGATTTACAGTGTAACATGTAGATTCGGGCCAATTTTTTCCTTAGAAGTTTACAGTTACGAATGTTAATGCACGCAGCATCCGAAAGAAGTCATCACTCCTTGTGGCTGTGCTCTCTGTACACGAGCCGGATGTTGTAATCATGACAGAAAACTGGTTAAGCGAAGCAGTTGAGAATGCCGAATTCCTGCCTCCCAGCTATACTGGATGTCGCAAGGACCGAGGATCCAGGGTAGGAAGTGCTGTCATTGTTTATAAAACTTCAATTTATTGTAGTGAAATTTCCACCTAACCGGAATTTGAATGCGTTGCGTGCACTATAGAGATAAATGAAAAGTCTTTTGTAGTTATCGTAGTATATCACCCCAATGATACCCTTGAAAAATATATGGTATTGCGTAACAATTTCGTAATTGATATGTTTAACCACCTCAATTGCCCCGCCGTGGTGGTCTAGTGACTAGGCTACTAGGCTGCTGACCCACTGGTCGTGGGATTGAATACCGGCTGTGGCGGCTGCACTTTCGGTGGAGGCGAAAATGCTGTAGGCCCGTGTGCTCAGATTTGGGTGCACATTAAAGAACCCCAGGTGGTCGAAATTTCCGGAGCCCTCCACTACAGCGTCTCTCGTAATCATATGGTGGTTTTGGGACGTTAAAGCCCACATATCAATTACCCATTCTAATTATATTATTATCTTGGGCGGAGACTTTATCGCATATCGATTGGTTGAATTATCAGGAAGGTCAAAATTAACAATACGTGTCACGAGTTCTTTAGGATCTAAATTTTTCTCTTGGTCCAACACAAATTGTCACTACACCTGCGCAAATCTACGAATTGAAAGAGTCATTGCTCGACTTGGTCGTCCTAACTAGGTCTTTCGCGCAATCCAAATATTGGTGTGAAGTATTAGAAGTAATATCTGATCACAAAATGGTGATGCCGCATATAGCTAGCACACGTGCTTGGGGAAAAAAGAACGGAACTACGACGGTTCTCTACTTTTCTCAAGCAGATGATATATACTGCGTTAATAGATAATTTAGAAAATATGTCTCTCTGAATACTACATTAGTAAACGATGCATGGAATATGTTTGAAAGCGTTGTTTCCAAATGAATAGAACTATTTGTTCCTAAGCACACGAAGAAGTTTAACAGACAAAATTGATTGATTGGTATGTGGGGTTTAACGTCCCAAAACCACTATATGATTATGAGAGACGCCGTAGTGGAGGGCTCCGGAAATTTAGACCACCTGGGGTTCTTTAACGTGCACCCAAATCTGAGCACACGGGCCTACAACATTTCCGCCTCCATCGGAAATGCAGCCGCCGCAGCCGGGATTCGAACCCGCCCCCTGCGGGTCAGCAGCCGAGTACCTTAGCCACTAGACCACCGCGGCGGGGCTAACAGACAAAATCCACAGAATACGCAAAAAATAATTCCAAAAAAATGACGTTTTGAAAATAATGAGAGCTAAAAAACCATTGTCTGCAAATACACATCATAACGTCAATTCCGTTTCTCAAGAACTCGAAATGAAAATTATTCAAACCAAACACAGGTACATGAATGAAACACTCACCAATTTAATTAAACATCACCAGGATATTTTTGGAGGTACTTTTCCGGACCAAAGTCTGGCACCCAATTTTTGAAGAACGATGATGTAACTATCACGAATAATTATAGAATGACTTGCCATTTTAATGAATATTTAAAATTGATTTTCGTTAGAGATGATGGCTTAACCTCCCCCCCCCCTTCCCCCTGGTGCAAATTAATAGTACCAATGTCTGGCTGAGCTAAACACAGCACATTATGAACACCACTCGAATAGTCGAATATTGTAACATACAAAGTTTTGAAAAGGCTTTGTCCGAATACTTTTTACCAAACTGCACTGCTTTTGCGCATCTTTCTCATTCAGTTGTCATCGGTAGGCTGCTTGTTGGTTTAATCTGTTTAGTGTACTACTTTAAATATGTTTTTCAGTCTTTCTCTCTGGTGACGTGTACTCCGGATTGTATTCGAACATGTTATCTTTTCTTTTTATATACAGGTGACGTGTGCGGGATGTATTATATGCTTCTCTAAGTTTTCTTTTGTTATTTTGATACCTTGTGCCTTTTCTGAGCTTACCGTGCGAATGTCGTTTTACCACATCTACTACGTTTATGCATAACAGCTATGTAACCCCAACTCCTGTCTTGGCTCATCTGCTGACAGTTTGAATAAAGTTAAAGAATAGTCTCTTGCTGCAATGAAAATGCTAGAGTCATGAAAACTATGATGCTAAATTTACCTGCCACATTATTATTTACGCACTAATGAAAAACACGTTCACAAAGTTCGTTTTTAGATCGCGTAATTGTCCCGAAGTTCGTTTCAGCGAGGTCAGAGGCTAACTTCAGTTTATCTGGATATGAAAAATTGACTAGTTCTTAAATTTTCAGATTAGCTTTGTTCGACAGTGAATTCATGCAGACTTACGGAAATAAGGGTTTACAAAATAACCGGAAAATTCAATTAAAAATAAACAAATAGGAAAATTAATTCTGTCATACTGAATCACAGAATTCTTCTGCAGTTAGAAAATATTGAAGAATTATGAAAGTCAACTATGACATTCCCGAAAGAAAGGGTCACAGGTTCTTATGGGTTTACTATGTGAAAATAATTACTATTGGGTTGTTTCTGAAGGTAGGTGTGCCAGTGAACCTTGTACATGCACGAGACCTCACAGAGATATTTTTTCTTTGATATATATAAATACCGTGAAAAGAAATAAATCCTAAGCAGTAATACAAAATAAAATCGCAGTCTGCAGTACCGAACCGGCCGCACAATGTTTGTTCTGAAAACATACCGAAAAATTCATGAAGTGTTGTTTTGAGGATGAGCTGAGGGTGTTATGAGTACGGACAAGAGGACTAAATTAGTGTCATTTTAGTGCCATAAGAGGGCGTTCTGGGGGTGTCATAATGTCATCAAGGAATGTCATCAAGGAGGCATACTGAGGGCGTTCTAAGGTTAGCGCCATTGTATTTGTGTTGTCTGCTGGGTAGAATCATAGATGATGTAATTACACTAAACGTAAATAAACCTTACTACTAATAACTTTTCTCATTTGTAGGGAAACGTTATCGAATTATTCACGTCATTCCAGTGTCACATCCATGAAGAGCACCCTAAACTTGCCTGATCTTTCATTGCGCCGCACATTGTCTCGCCTTAACCTTTTTCACAAAATCTATCATTATAACAGCCATTTGAAGGACGCCCTGTTTCATCCACCTCGCTTCATATCACCAAGGATGGATCATCGCTTTAAGGTGGGCCTACCATCCTGTCGCACCAGACTATATAATGATTCATTCGTGCCAAGGACAAGCGCCGCCTGGAACCACCTTCCCGCCTCCATCGCCTGTATAACGGACCAAAAAGACTTCAAGCTCGCCATACATGATGCCCTGTAGAATTTTTCTTTTTTTCCTGTTTTCTGTTTTTTTTTTTTTTTTTTTTTTTTTTTAACTTTTTAACTGCACTTACGATTGTTCAAACCACTCCTTTCTGTAGTGCCTTCGGGCCTTGAAAGTACCTTTAATAAATAAATAAATAAATAAATTAAGTTACAATACAAATCACAGCAGGCCGAAGCTAACGTTATTACATAACTATTACTTTTCAAAAGTAGGGAAATTACCTTGAGAAAAGTTACATGAAAACCGGCGGATAATGAAGCCAAGGAGCAAGGGCGGTGCCAGGGGTGGGCACGGGGAGGGGGCTGGAGTCCTAGAAAACTTTCGCCTGCCCCCCTCCCTTCCGTTGCCCCCCCCCCCCCCCCGAACGGGACATAGTCATAACACATTGCCCATGTTTCCCACCTCCCGGCCCCTCCCCCATCCCACTTGAGGAAACTAACTTTTCATGGGTGCCTCGCACCCTCTTGTAAAATAATCCTGGTGCCACATCTGCCAAGTAGCGTATATGCAACGTTAATTGTACTATTTCAGGTTTGTTGTAGTAATTGTGATGTAGATGTGATAAAAGCAAGGTGGGACAAAAAGACATGTTTCCGCTCGCAGAGACCGAACCTGTAACATTAGGAAAAGTTTATCAATTCATGCCCTGACTCATACAACTTTATAGCACATATACATTGAATCTCGGCGATCTTTGATCAGCCTCCAATACTTGGATTCAGCACTCACATTCATTTGAATTTTCCTATATTTGTTTTATTTCTTTGTCGATTTTTTATGTCACAAGGGAAGTGACGAGCTATACATTAGCATAAAGTAAGCTGGAAAGTAATGAGTACTTTGTTGCCATGACTCGCTTGAAGAAATCAATTGCGTTGCTAGATTACCAGCCCACTTCCTACAGCAAAAAGTGATTCAACTACTCTAATTTCATTAATTACATTTGGCTATCACCACGTTGAAATGTATTGTCGAATGAAAGGCTTCGTGAATTCTGCCGCGTTTCCTGGGCAACCATTAATTGTCCTTCCTCCCGGCTCGTCATCATCATCATCTTGAGACCATTTTAGTGCACTGCGGGACGAACGCCGCCTTGCAATGATGTCCAATTTATCCTATCTTCTTCAAGCTGATTCAATTTCATTTTCTTCAAAATGCTTAATTTTTCCGCTCCTCCAAACCCTCAGCATTCATCTACGGCGTTCCCCATTCCTTCGAAACCATTACGATTATCTCACAGTTCACCGGTTGTCTGTTCAGCGCATTACGAGGCCAGCCTAGGTCTATTTCGTTTCCTTGATGGCCACCAGGATATCTACCACCCCTGTTTGTTCGGTGACCCATTGTACCGTTTTCCAATCTTTTGTTGTCACTTCTATAGTTTTTCGACTTCACAACTAGGGGGAAAAGAACGCTTCTTTTTTTTCTCACACTCAACACCGAAGAAGAAAAAAAAGACGAAAGAAATACAGACCATGACTTGTAACCAACGTAGCTGATGAGAATCCATGTCTGCGACTGTCGCGCGAGGACACGTCGCGGTATACCTCCTGCACCGGGCGAGGCCACGACACCAAAAATGGACACGTCTTAAGGCACGCCGCAGATGTAACCCGATGAGCCGATCGAGCGTGTATGTGTTGGTTCGGAGGCGTCATACGCGAACACCTTTCCGTCGATCGAAATCAAACAAACATCCACACCCACTCTCCTCCCGATCGACAAGTAATCCCCCGCTAATTCGGAGGAGGCGTCGAGGGGATCTCGTGAGGCGTCGCGACGGTCGCATGGAGCCAAGGTTACAGTGGCGAACGGAGCCCGACTGCAGCTTCCTCGTCGATTCAGCCGCGCACTGTGCAAAGGCCAACGCACACACGTCCTCGTCGACCGCTACGACGCTGAACAAACACAGCGACCCCCGCGGGAATCCCAGCCACCGCCACAATGCGTGGACCAGCTGGTAAAGGCAGACCCGACACTTGCGGGCGTGCAATCAACACATTCCGACTGAACCCTTACCGGAATGTTCGCACCGTGTCGAGCGATACTGTCGTTGTTTGCAATGTAACAGTGAAAGTCTGTAAAAGGGGGTATCTTTCTGGACTCCTATATATGATAACGTCGTTGCGTCTGCCTCAACCTTTCGAGGTGTCTGTAAACCCTTCAAACTGACACATCATTCCATGCTTTACCAAAATACTATGATAATACGTTACTTTACGTATCCTACAGTTATTATTCCGAGTTAAATCGTGATCACTCATTTATCCCAAAGCTATTGATGCGCTATTTTGGCACAAGTAGTATCAAAGCTCGAGCTGTAAATGCAGTGCAAACAATGTTTTCGCTTACGCTCGCTTTCAGCGAAGAAAAATGTATTTTTGTCGTTGCTCACGCGAAGCGGCAGCAGAACTATTAGTCGAACATGGTATACAGTGCCTTTAACAAGGCGACCACACTCAACAGTACACTGCAAAATGAAGCTAAATGAAGGCACGTTGATTACGCGGGAACTACAATTCACAAAAAATGTTCATTTATCTTACGCTTTATGATAATGCTGCAAAACTGAACCAGAGGTGGAAATTTCCGAAGCCCTGCACGTCTTTTCTGAAGCCCTGCATAACCACATCGTGGTTTCGCGACGTTGAACATAAACAATTATTGCTATTAAGTTGCAAGCTGAGGCTTTGTCAACTAAATGACATAACCCGGTCTGACTCAGTAACGTGCAGGCATACCCGCCACGGTGGTCACGTGGTTACGTTGCGACTGCTGGCCCGAAGGTCACGGGATCGAATGCCGTTGCGGTGGCCGCATTTTTTTATATAGACGAGAACGCTTAAGGCGCCTGTGCTTAGATTTAGGTGCACTCTAAAGAATTCAGAATGGTGGGAATTTCCGGGGCCCTTCACCACAGCGTCCCTCATAATCATATCATAGTTTGGGACGTAAAGCTTTGACAATTTTCATTCATAAATGCAGGCATACGTACCCTAAGGCAGGCCCTCGACGCAACGTCAAGTTTCTTCTTCCAGATGGCGAGCTGAACTCTAACGAAATGCGAGGACGCCGGGAAAGGACTGTCACCTGCACGTGTTACCGTTGCACGCGTCCCAATCGAGTACGCGACAAACTCGGTCAATGGAGCGCTACTGGACTGCAGACATCCTCTCCGACTCGAGCGAGCACGTCAACTACGTCCGCGCGCGACTGTTTAGCCGTGAATAGTGCAAAAAGAGAGAGGGGCGATGATCACGTTTGTCGCGTCCGCAACCCATTGCAAGGTTGTACGAACTCAACAGTGGTTCTTTTGTGTGAATGCTCCTTTTTACTTCTATGATGTGGAAAGGAGACGGGGTTCTTTTTTGTCGTGTTCACGCTTTTGTACGACTCGACACGGTACGTTGCTATTTCCAGGTGTGGGCAAGTAGACCTGTGATTTAAATTTCTTTTTCTATATTTTTTTGTTTGCTCCCATAGAGCCATTTTTGGTGTTCCCACGTGATCCAATCGCATTATCAAATTTCGGAAGTGAGAATATCGCGTGCGCCAGAAGGCGTTAGAGACAATCTACTTCAAAAAAAAAAAACATTCCCAACACCACCAACAGCGACAAAAGGCCAGTGTTGCCCAGCATCCACGAATTTCGGAACCGATCGGTCATTTCGAAGCTCAGTATGTCCTGGATCAAACGTAAAGCGTGCCTCTCGTCGGGCTTTCCGCAAATAGCGCGCCGTTGAAGCGGACAACAATTCAACCCTTCTATGGAAGTCTTCCTATAAGCGGCCTTTTATCCGGAAGTATTGTGTGGCGTTGAACAACGAAAAAAAAAGCAAAGGCAATAATGCTGTGTGTGTGTTGTCTATGTCGTGCAGCGTTCGTTTCGACTATAGAATGCCACGTATCATTGTGACCGTCCTAAATGTGGGGCGTTCCGAACGTGCTCTCATTGTGTGCGGGGAAAGCTGGCGAACTATCACTGCGCATAATTTTGACGATAATTGATCAAGGTCGATGAACTCTTCGAGCATGGACTGTTCCGGTGATCCCGAATGTCGACGAACATTCCGCCTGATGCTCGGTTTGCAGGAACGCGCACAGGTTTCGTTCTTAGGATGTCATTTTTATTGCAGTGGTATTGCCTTTATCAACATAGGGTATATTGATAATTGACCACGTTGCGTTCCACGAAATTAAAACAGCTTAGACATCTGCCCAAGCTTGGCTTGCACGCTTTCTTAGAGGTGCATTATCATCACCATCACCATCGTCAGACTGAATGCGCCCCCTGCAAGTCAAAGGCTTCTGACATGCTCAGCCAATCAACCTGGACCTGTGTTTGCTGCTGCAATGTTTTAATCCCATCTACCCGCCTAACTTTATATCTTCCCCTCAGGCATATGCCTTCTCCCGGAATCCAGTTAGTTTTTTTAATGACCAAAGGCTGTTACCTTGCCTAGGCGATACGTACCCTGCCCGTGTCCATTTTCTTGCGATAACAATTATATGGACACGATCAACTCATTTTTTTTACCGTTGCCGTCATGTCCCGGATATATATATATATATATATATATATATATATATATATATATATATATATATATATATATAGAGAGAGAGAGAGAGAGAGAGAGAGAGAGAGAGATTATAAAGATTCTGGCTTTGGTTGCCGTAGAATTGAGAGAAAATAAGTATACGCCTATACGCCTATAAAAAACTGTTTATTGGTGAAGTTTCGATCGGAGACCAATCTTCATCAGAAATAAGTGGGACGCTCGAGTTATGACCACAATATGATAAATCTTCTTCGCCGCGCCACCTGAAGTTATGAGTGCGCATGCGCGTCCCTTCATTTTCATATCCTTATCTTTTTGCTCGTTAGAAGTGGTTACGTCTGATGAAGATCGGTCTCCGACCTAAACGTCACCAATAAACAGTTTTTCAGAGGCGTATACTACATTTCCCTGCTCACGGCTGGTTATTTTTTCATCCACTTTTCTTTCTTCTTATTTACATTCCATTGGTTCTAATAACTTCCTCTGTGCATTCCTTGGCATTGCTGTCTGTTGGATCTCATTGGTATTGTGTTAAAACACGGAAAAACGAGCCCTTAGGTATACACTTCTTTCCCTTATTATATATATATATATATATATATATATATATATATATATATATATATATATATATATATATATATATATATATATATATATATATATTCTTACACAAGGTAAGGTTACTTAATGGGGGGTGGGGTTTAATGGTCCCTGAGTCCGCGATCACAGTATAATGATGATGATCTCCACCGCCATGGCTAGTACCCACTAAGGGGAATCGCAGTGGAGGCAACGTCGTCTTCCTTCTCTATCCACGCTTCCCTTGTTTTTCCTGCTAGTGATACCCTGTATCATTCCTCCCGTCTCAGACGAAGCCCTCTGGGCGAGTCATTCTTGCATCCTTCGTGTAAACGGTTTCAGGCGGGCAACATGCGTCACCTTTGTCTTGCATGAACGTCGGCCACTAGTGCTGACACGTGCAATTTCATAGTTGACCTCACTGAGACGACGGAGTATCACAAAAGGACCGGCATAGTGTGCCAGTAGCTTTTGGCTCAAGCCACGTCTGCGTATTGGGGTCCACACCCACACTAGATCACCGGGGGCATAGGTTACATGCCTGTGTTGACTGTCGAATAGCGAGTTTTGCAGGACTCTTGCGCTGCCAGTGTACGTAAGCAGGCAAGTCGACGTGTCTCTTCCGCACGACACAGTTTCCGCAATTGTTAAATTGTCATGGACGACAAAAGGAAAGATAGTGTCCAGCGTATGTCGAGGTAAGCGAGCGTAGAGCAGATAGAAAGGGATGTAGCCTGTCGTTTCGTGTTTCGACGTGTTGAAGGCGTACGTGACGAATGGTAATACTTAATCCCAGTTTTTGTGGTCGGATGCGACGTACATTGACAACATGTTGATCAACGTTTGGTTTGTGCGCTTGGTGAGGCCGTTAGTTTGTGGATGATACGCAGTTGAGTGTCGGAACTTGGAGGCACACAAACGAAGTAATGATTCGACAATATCAGCGGTAAATTGTCGTCCACGGTCACTTATTATCACGCGAGGAGGTCCGTGTCGGAGGATGACTGAATGCAACAGGAACTCCGAAACCTGGACTGCCGTGGCGGAGCATAAGGCAGCCGTCTCGCAGTACCGCGTCAGGTAGTCGGCGCATACAATTATCCACCGGTTACCTTTTGAGGAGCGTGAAAATGGTCCCATCAGATCAATGCCGACCTTTTCAAAAGGGGAACCGGGAGGCTTTACAGGTTGCAGGTGACCAACTGGACCCGAGGAAGGCCGCTTGTGGCTCTGGCACTGCGTACAGCTGGCCACGTAGTTCTGAATCGTTTTGCTCATTTTCAGCCAATAGAATCGCTCTTTCATGCGACAAAGTGTTCGTGCGGTGCCTAGATGGCCAGAGGTAGGGTAATCATGCGTGAGGCGCAAAACAGACGCTTGGAGGGACGCAAGAACAACCAGCAGAAAGCGGGCGCCCGTTGTGGACAAGTTTTTCTGGTAAAGAAGGCCGTTTCGGACTCAGAATCGGCCTTCGCTTAATGAATTTCTCGCTCCAGGGAAGAGAGCTTTTAAGCTTGGGTCATTACGCTGCTCAGCGGCGAAGGTCACGGCATCGGGAAAGCCAGACGACCGAGAAGCGATAAGGTGGTGAAAGTTATCCGCTTCACAATCTGTCGATGGTAGTGGCATTCTGGAGAGGCAATCCGCATCAGCGTGTAGACAGC